AGGACGCCGCAGGCGGTGCAGTGCCGCACGGCCTCCAGCACCTGGCAGAAAAGCCAGCGCGCCTGCTCCTCGCACAGGCACCCCTGCTCCTGCAGGAACTCCAGGAGATCCTGCGATGCCTGCGGACGCTCCAGGACCAGCACGAAGCTGTCCGGCAACTCGAACCAGTCGAGGAGCTGGATGATATTCTGGCAGCCAGAGCCCACCTTCTGCATGAGCACCACCTCCAAGGGCACGCGGGTGCCGTCGGGCTGTGAGGAGGAGAAAATGAGTCCCTGCGGCAGGTGCTGCTGCTGCTGCTGCTGCAGGCCTGGGGCTGCGGTGCGCCCTGCCCGGGATGCCCCAGTGCCCCCTGCCGCAGCCTCCCAGGCGCTTGCGCTTCCTCCCGCCCGGGGGATGCTCGGGGCTGCCCCTGCCCGGCCCCGGCACCGCTGTTCGGCGTGCCCAGGCCCGCGGGGCTGCGGCTCCGCACGCTGAGCCCGGCCCGGGATTCTCCCTGCCCGCCACGCCCCGCTCTGTCCCGCTGGCCCCGCTCGCTCACCAGCTCGTCCCACTGCAGGACGCTCTCCCGGGCCACGCGTTTGAGGGCCACCTGCGAGCCATGGGGAGAGGAGGGCTGAGCTCCAGCCCTGCTCCTCCCCGCCGCTGCCCCTCCGCCCAGGCCCGGCCGTCGCGGCCACTCACCGGGCTGCCGTCCGAGAGGCGGATGCCCGAGAAGACGGTGCCGAAGCCGCCGCTGCCCAGCTGCGGGCCCAGCAGGTACCGCTCCTGCCGCTGCCTCCTTTGCCCTGCGGCCAAGAGCGAGCCATCAGCCTTGCGCCCAGGACCCGCCCCTCCCGCAAGTGCCGCGAGTGGAGCGGGCCGGGCCCCGCGGGCCGCCGCGCTCTCACCCGCTTCCTGCTGCGCGCCGGGCAGCGGCCACCGCCCTGCAGCCGCCGGGCTGGCGAGCGGCAGAGCCGGGCCGGGGCAGCGCGCACAGGCGGCTGCGGCAGCCCCGGGCCAGCGGGGCAGGGCGGCACCGGCGCTGTCCCCGGCGTCGTGGGCTGGGCTCTGCTCCTGCCGACGGCCGGGGCTGCAGCCCGAGGCTTGGCACGGGGGAGACCCAGGAGCGGCTGCAAAGCAGACAGGGCGTTTTCAAGCCGGGCCATTGAAGGCACTGGAAACGGCCAGCGACTGGGCTGCTCTCAGGGGCCCTGGCCTGGCCTGGCCGCGCCCCTCCAGAGCCCCGGGGGAGCCTCAGGAAGCTCCTCGGGAGATCTCACCTGCTACTAGAAAGCCCTTCGCGGCCCTCGAGGGCTGTCTTGGGGCAGCTTCCTGCAGATGGAGGAAGCTCCATGGTGTCTGGAGGCCAGACTCCACTTAAAATCCTGAAATAGAACCTGCATTGCCTTCCCATCATCCATGAGACGCGTGACCTTATGTTAGGGAACCAGTGAGAGAGAGACAGGGTACATTTGAGTTTCGGGGATGCCACATCAGCTCGTCTCCTCTTCACCCAGGCAGTCCCTGCCACGAGGGCGTGGCCGAAGCGGCCCGAGGATCCGGGCATTCTTAGGAGAATGTTGAGTGGCAGACTTGTTGGTTTGTGGCTGCTGTGTGGCTAAGATCATGCAGTGATATTTGGTGTTCTTGATTGTAGCTGAGCAAGGATCACAGGTCGGTGTGTGCAGGAAATTCCCAGCAGGCGAGGCAGCCTTCCCTGGTACCCGACGTGGATTCCCATGCCGGGACATCCTAGAGAGAACTCGAGGGCTAGGAGCCTGAGAGGGGATGAAAGCGAGGTGCTGGGAGGGCTTTTGGAGGCAGCTGTGGAGATGGGGATGTGCCAGAGGTGACCCCTTAGGCCACATAAAGGAAAAGTCACACCGTGCTGGATTGCTTAGGGCAGAGCAGTGCCGGTGCATGGTGTGTCACTTGTCTGTCATGCCTTCTGTGTCTTTTGGGTATCACGTATCTTTTGCCGTAGTCCTTTGAGGGGCTTATCAGAAGACCAGGTGTCCATCTTTGCATCTCTGATATCTGTGTTCCTTGTCCCAGTGCTAATTTCAGTAATAATAAATTAATAAAAACTGATAAGTATAGTGAATAAAATCCTACCTGCGCGTGCAAAATAAATTATGTGAATTTAAGTAATTAAAAAAATCTTTATCTTACTGAAAATCCTTAAACACTTGTACAAAAAAAAAAAAAGTGCAAAAGCTATTTTTAGGAGCCAGCTGCTGAGCAGGGTAAGTTCGTTGTTTAGGCTGCGCTTTCCAGGAGCAGAAGATGATGCTCGGTGCGGCTCCTTGCCCGGGCGGGGCCGGCGCTCGGGCCGCTCCCGCCCGGCGGCCACACGGGGGCGGCGCCGGGCCGGCAGCGACGGGGCCGGGTCCGCTGTGTGCGGCTGTGTGCGGCTGTGTGCGGCTGTGTCCCCTTCTGTCCCCCGTGTCCCCTTCTGTCCCCCTGCGTCCCCCCGTGTCCCCTTCTGTCCCCCTGTGTCCGGCTGTGTCCCCGCTGTGTGCGGCTGTGTGCGGCTGTGTCCCCTTCTGTCCCCCGTGTCCCCTTCTGTCCCCCTGCGTCCCCCCGTGTCCCCTTCTGTCCCCCTGTGTCCGGCTGTGTCCCCGCTGTGTGCGGCTGTGTGCGGCTGTGTCCCCTTCTGTCCCCCTGTGTCCCTTTCTGTCCCCTTCTGTCTCCCCTGTGTCCGACTGTGTCCCCTTCTGTCCCCCCGTGTCCCCTTCTGTCCCCCTGTGTCCGACTGTGTCCCCGCTGTGTCCGGCTGTGTCCCCTTCTGTCCCCCTGTGTCCGGCTGTGTCCCCCTGTGTCCGACTGTGTCCCCTTCTGTCCCCCTGTGTCCGACTGTGTCCCCTTCTGTCCCCCCGTGTCCCCTTCTGTCCCCCTGTGTCCGACTGTGTCCCCGCTGTGTCCGGCTGTGTCCCCTTCTGTCCCCCTGTGTCCGGCTGTGTCCCCCTGTGTCCGACTGTGTCCCCTTCTGTCCCCCTGTGTCCGGCTGTGTCCCCTTCTGTCCCCCCGTGTCCCCTTCTGTCCCCCTGTGTCCGACTGTGACCCCTTGTGTCCGACTGTGTCCCCTTCTGTCCCCCATGTTTCCCCTTCTGTCCCCTTGTGTCCGACTGTGACCCCTTGTGTCCGGCTGTGTCCCCCTGTGTCCGGCTGTGTCCCCTTCTGTCCCCCTGTGTCCAACTGTGTCCCCTTGTGTCCCCTTGTGTCCCCTTCTGTCTCCCTTGTGTCCGGCTGTGTGCCCTTCTGTCCCCTTGTGTCCGACTGTGTCCCCTTGTGTCCGGCTGTGTCCCCCTGTGTCCGGCTGTGTCCCCTTCTGTCCCCCTGTGTCCAACTGTGTCCCCTTGTGTCCCCTTGTGTCCCCTTCTGTCTCCCTTGTGTCCGGCTGTGTGCCCTTCTGTCCCCTTGTGTCCGACTGTGTCCCCTTGTGTCCGGCTGCGTCCCCTCTGTGTCCCATATGTGCCCGGCTGTGTTCCCCTCTGTCCGCCCTGTGTAGCCCCGGTGCCCGGCTGCGTCCCCCTCTGTCCGCCCTCTGTCCCCGCTGTGTCCCCTCTGTATCCCTCTCTGTCCCCCCTGTGTCCCCCCGCTGTCCCCGCTGTGTCCCCCCGGCTTTGCCCGGAGCCGGAGCCGCCCGCGGCCGGCGGGCAGTGCCCCCAGCCCCCGCCAGGCCGCTGGGCAGCCTCACTGCCTGGGAGCCCGGCAGGGAAAACTCCATCCGGACGGTGCCCGTGTCCGAGTGGGGACAGCAGGTACTGCTGGCAGATGCAAAATGCCAAGGAAATCGTAGGGTAATTGCAGCACTCTGATGAAAGCTGACGAAAAACTGTATCAACAGCACGAATGTAGTAATAATTTTTCAAGCCAAAAAATTGGCTTGAAATTTTTTGGACACTTGCGTGCGAAATGAAGTGTCACAAGTGTCAGAGGAGAGCCAGGCACCCCATGAGGAGCTGAGCCTGGGGGTGCGGCCGCGGCTCAGCCTCTTGCAGCCCCTGCTTCCCTCCAGGCTCTCCCCAGGCTTCTCCTGCTGCCCCAGCCAGCTCAGGAGCTGGGCCCTGCACGGTGTTAATGGCAGAAAAAACCCAGGTGTTAAGGGCAGAAAAAACCCACCACCCCACCAAAAATTAACCTGCGTTTTGTGGCCCTAACTGACCAGTTTTGCAGCTGGTTGATCTGTGTATGCAGAAATTCAATAGTGGATATTGTTATTTACGAATCACTTTTATTAAATCATTCATTTTAATGAATTGACAAAAAATGTGGAGTTTTTGTGGGTCTAACTGTTCCCTATATGTGTTAATAACTGAAAATGGGAGTAATTCTGTGTGTATATTTTCTGTCTCTGGCTGTGCCTGACTCCTGTGGCCCCATTTCAATTGCTGGTGCTGTGCTGGGGCTGTGGGCTGAGCTGCCCCAGCAGGGGCTGCCCACCCACACTGACAGCAAGGCAGGCCCAGCTTCACCATGTGCTCTGCAGACTTCATACACCTTTAGCTTTCTAATTTTTGATGAGTCTTTGCTTCCCATCCTCTTTGTCCTTCATTTTTCAGCTGATTCCCTGTTCCATGGAGCAGAGATCTCTGGGAAGGCAAGGATAATTGTATAGAACTTACAATTATATATATATTTAAACAGTATGTAAGTTGGCTGCATTTACCTTCACTTTGTAATGAGCCCAGTTTGACTCTGCTAGTGCTTATGTGTGAAGATGTTTATTCACTGGGTAACATCTCACATTCCACATTGCATGTTGAGGTATTTTTAACCATGCAAACTTTCCACCTATCAAAGTAATTTGCAAAGGTAATTTTGTTTCTACTCATCTATTACAATAAATCAATGAATAAATAAATTATAATGCAGCAATTAAATGTATAATGAGATGGGCAACAACTATTAATAAATGCAGAGCTAGTTGCCCAGAGGTGAACAGACTCCCCCTCTCTTTTAACAAGCCAGGTAATGATCTTTCTATAATGGAGAAACAAGCAGCTGTTAAACATGTAAATGAAACCAAGGGATAGAAGAGTTCACACTATAATACTGTTCTTCAGCCCCATTATTATTGTTACATTATCAGTTGTTCTGTGACTTTTCTCTGAATATTTAAAGACAGGGAGGGGATATGCAATTATGCTTAAACATCCTTCTGCCAAGTGATTGACTGAATGAACCCAACCATGTTGCTGAGGAAGGAGTTGGCTCCCTTCAGCAACCTAACTGGTACAGGCTGAGTTTTATCCTAGCAGAGCTGCTACAAAACCAGTGTTGATCTTCTGGATAGTTCAAAAGAAAATGATGACATTTCATGAGGAATAGAAGTCCCTTTAAAAAAAAAACCCAACAAATTGGCATTGTTAAATATCTAATCTAAACAAAACTATACAAGTAGGGTGCACTAGTTTATACTAGTGCATCTTCTAATTTTAAATATGGCTGTGAATTGTAATATCACTGCTACTCTCAGTATTTGGTATTGCTATAAGGAAAAGCAGAACACAGTCTCCCCGCTGAAGTCTCGCTCCTGTAGTATGCATGCTTGGGGATGCTTCATGTCTCTTCAGTTTATATCCATCCTCAATATCCTTTTCCTCTTCAAAATTAATTGTCAGAGAATTACCGTTTCATTGGAACACCTTTATTTCTTTCTTCAACAGCCACCACAGTGAATCCCTTGCCATTTTACTCTTGCTCTTTCCCGAGCATGTGCTCATGTTCTCTATCTCTCTGTGTCACTTGTTTGTGTTTCCCAAATGTGCTTTACCACCCGAGATCACATCATTCCAAAAACTTGTTTTCAAAGGAATGATTGATGCATTGGGGTTTGCCTCAGCCTGAGCTGGCTCTGGCACACCATTAATGTGGGGCTGAGGAGATACAGCATTGTCCAGGATACCAAGCTGTGCATCAAAAGCTTGCTTATGTTTAGAAGAGTACAGCTTTCCCTCTCAGCCCCCCACAGGTTGAGAATTTCAAGGGCAGCAGTTGGCAGAGAATTCAATGAAGCTACAGTGGTTGATTTATTGTATAGGTGGCAGGAAGCAGAATTATCTTAGCAAATTAATTTGGCTGATAGGAAAGCTGGCCAGCAGATAAGGGGCAGTGCTGATGCCCGACCTGACCTGCACATACCTCTGACACAGTTTCACCAATTCAGTTTAGGATGAGTCAGTGCACTGAGCAGAAAGTGCTCAGGAAGAACAAATAAAGCGGGTATGGTCCTGGAACAACTGTCCTTGACAGTGCCCAGCTGCCCTGACCTTTCTGGGTCAGGTGAGAATTATCTGATCCATTCATCATTTTATACAATTCAGACATTGAGGAAGAGGCTGTTTCACAGAAAAAGCTGGACAAGTCTTTCAACTGCACACTGCAGACTGCAGTCACTGAAGTTCAACTGTATTTACCAACCCCAGTGAAGTGATTTCTTTGGTTTCCACTGCTGCATCTCTCTGGCCTTTTAAAGCCCAGCAGCAGCTGGATGAGGGGACCTATGGCAGTCAGGTGACCTACAGAGCTTTTGCTAAAGTTTCATAGTCTTATATGGGTCTT